TTAGTTTAGTTTAGTTTAATTAGTAATTGTTATTAGTAATTCCTTAGTTCAGCGTTTGGTTTCAATTAGTTATTAGGCTTAGTTTAGTTGGTTTGGATATAGCCGAATAATTCAGTCTTTGATTAACCATAGTAAATTTAACTAGGGTAAAAAAAAGGGGCTATGCTAGTCTTAGTAATTTTAGATTAAAAGCAAGGGTAGTGTAGGTATTCCTAAAATAGAAAACAATGCTGGAATCTCCCAGAACTTTCTAGACGAGGGTTTAATTAGAATTTTAGTAGTTTTAGTGCAGTGACTTGGGCAACAAGCCAAAATTTTAGGGACTAAATAGTTAAAAATCTAAAAATAAAAGAGGGACTAAAGGTAAAATAGAAATCTGAGGGTTGCCCTTAGTTTTTGCCTATAAAAGGCATTATTGCCTTGCACAGTAAGGTTTTGAACATCTGAAAAATTCCCCAAAATTTTCCGCTCTTAAAATTTCCCCCAAAAACAATTTCTGCAAATTTTAGCATCCAAATTTGAATTTCAAATCCAAAGAAGATCAAAACACTGTTACATTTAATCCTCCAGGTTAATTTTGAGTTTTAATCATTGATTCTCATCTCTTAGCTCAACTTTAGTCACTGAAGTTTTAGAAAGTTCCTGGGTTCTAATTCGAGTCATTTTGGGTGTATTTGAGCTATTTTGGTTGGTTGATTGGTTAAAATTGGTCTTGGGTGGTTGATATTGCTTTTTTTTTAGTTTGTGATATTGTCTCAAGCCTCTGATTTCTGTTGCTGAACTGCTGTGACCCTGCTGATCCTCTTCTTCTTTTCAATTTTATTACATTCCAGGTACACACTCGAATTAGCCTCGATGTAGCCTCGAATTGAAAGATGAAATAAAAGTATTCATGCATTGGCCTCCAGCTTTGTGTTCATTCTATATTTATAGTTAACGTAGATATTAGTCGATGTATATTTGCTTTGATGTGTATTCTCTTAAACTCATGGACTGTATAATTGGACTTCATAACTGGGCTATAGCAGCTATGAACTGTAGATCGTGTTAGCATTTAACGTTTAGTTGTTGTAGCTGAAACTAAGCTATATTGGTTAGATTTTGTTTAGCCTGTATTAGCAGGACTATATTAGTATAGCTGTTAGTATAATTCGATTTTAGATAAAGTTTTGATACTGAGGCAGAGTTGAATCCATGGCCACAGGATTTATCAATAATTCGCATAGGTTTAAACGCAGTGCTGGAATTAAGCCTTAACCGCATCATTTTTTAGTATACAAATCCATATCCAGGCCTGAAACGTAGATCCAAAATCAGTATTTGGCTGAATCATTCAATAGTTTAATTGACACGTTGTATGATCCCACATTGGCTTTCGAAAATGATCTCAACTGGTTTAATGGTCTTTAGAATAAGTTTATATCTGTATATGTTGATTTGTTAAGTCTAAATAGTCTCAATTTCTAAAAACAATCCTTTGGTTCAGCTAATCATCAAGTTATTCGTCATCATCACTTTGTAAATATTGCATATGATAATTTTCCTGCCTTAATCTCACCTCCTTATGTAAATGATGGTAGAACTGGTATCCACACCAGCGTAAGCAGTTAAAAATGGTACTGAAATCGAAATTTCAACATTTAGTTAGTAGCCATGTTAGTTAATCATTTTGGGCCTATTGTTAAATTTTCAGAAAATTATAGTATTAATCCACTAACCTCGTGAATCTGATTGTGTGTCCACAGTCCTGGGCCAGTCATTGAGGCCCAAAAGAATCACTGAAGGCTGGAATTTCTAGTAGATCATCAGGGTCAATTTTGTAATTTGGATTTCGGGCTCGTTAGTTAAGTAGCATGCTCGAATTAAGAGGTTTTCCTCTTGTTGGAGTGTGGACTTGAACTGGAGGCCCAAATTCCTTGATTTGCTTTAAATAATAGCAATTAATAATATTAATTAATTAGGGCCCTTTAGAGACGAAACCAATAGAAAATCATAGTTTGCTCTAGGATGGCCTTTAAATAATAAAATAAGGTGAGCCGCGCCAAATAAAATGCATAAATTGCGTGACCCTCTTTCATTGCTTATATTAAAATATTTAGAATTCGGGACGTGCCGTTTAGCAAATTTCACGGCCTCCCACAAAGATAATAACATGTTAGTCGCTCTAGGCGCGCTTTTAATAATTTTACCTTCCTAAATACGGGTGTGCATTTCATGCAACCCAAATCCAAATCCCAAAACGTTGGATAAAAATGTGGCGAGGATCCGGGTGCATTTCATGTGACGTGATCCAAAAATATGTTTTTAAACGACGTTCACTTTCTTTAAAAATTTAATTAAAAGCGGTAAATGATCTTTAAAATTGCACTATAGGATGTCATATATAAAAATCAGATTTTTAGCCATTTATAATAATTTAAGCGACCGTGCTAGAACCACGGGATCCGGGCAGGGGCGGATTTAGGGGGGCAAGGGGGTTCGCCCGAACCCCCTTCGCCGAAAAATTACACTGTATATATAAGGCAAAATATGATTTTTATCTCTATATATTAAGTTTTGAACCCCCTTAACACAACCCAAAAGTGTAGTTTAGTGGTCAAGGGGGTTCAAAACATTCATAACGTCCCAAGTTCAATTCCCACTAGCTAAAAAAAAAAATTTTTGAACCCCCTTCGTGGAGATCCTGCCTCCGCCACTGGATCCGGGGGTGCCTAATACCTTCCTTCGGGTCAACGGAATTCCTTATTCAGAATTTCTGGTTCGCAGACTCCAACTAGGAAGTCGAAATTTTCCTCGATTTGGGATTCAAGCTAAACCGGTGACTTGGGACACCAAAAGCCAATCATATCCCAAGTGGCGACTCTAAATCAAATAAATAATCCCATTTCGAATAATGTCACTTTAAATGGAAAAACTCCCTTATACATTATCTTTCGGGGTAGGTGTGTAAAAAAGGAGGTGTGACACACCTCCTAATATTAGAAATAATGAG